GAATAGAATAGAATAGAATAGAATAGAATAGAATAGAATAGAATAGAATAGAATTTATTGTCCTGCCGAGGGGAAATTCAGGTGTCACAGCAGCATCCGGACACAGGTTCACATGGTATTTAGTTTACAAACTATAGACAGTGCACAAAAAACTAAATTAACACTGACTAGCGATGATATGGCTACTAATAATAAAAAATATAATGTAAAGAATTGTGCAAGAATAAAAAAAAGATATGTTTTGTTTTAGAGACAGTAATTATATCTAAGAAAAAGAAGGTTTATACATTAATTTGACTATTTTTTTCTTAATTTTGTATCTACAATACATTACAATAAATGTATCTTAAGTGAGAAACTAGTGTATCTGAATGTTAGGAGTTTGTTTTACCATCAAAGGATATGTAGTACATTAAAGTGTTACCTGATGGTGTTTTCTCAGAGGCAGCTTCATCTGAAAACCAGGATGTTGAACAAACTAACTCTACTGCCAACATGGAGAGTGACAGGTGAGAGGCAACCTTTCTGTTAATATCCTGAATTTAAAACCATGTAAAACATAAAAACTCATGAAACAGGATATTTAAACATGGCAAACATAGAATTGTTTTAAACCCTTTGGTTTTATCTCTGTCGTTCTGTGCAGCCTGTCTGCAGTTTGTCCCAGCAGCACTGCAACCGGTCCCGTCGTCCCCGCCTCTTCTTCCAAACTTGAAGCTTTGACGGAGCTGACGCCGTTTCCCTGCATCCAGAAGACCCGGGCCTGGCCGGCCCCGCGCCATCCGGCCCGCAGCGCCATCCAACGCCAGAATCGTGTACGCCACGGAGTCCAGCCCCACTCCTTCCACCTCCAGCAGCCAGGACAGCGCAGCCTCAGCCGCTGACGCTTGTAGCAGCGGTCAACCCTCAGAAACACATGAATACAGGTGGCTAACTGTACACCATGCTGCTACACATTCAGGATATCTGCATGATCTGAAATAGAATCAATAGGCAGCTAATGTTTTGTTTAGATTGAAGACTCAATAAGATTCAGTGTTTTCTAAGTCCATGTCAAAGAAAACAGCCTATGCAATGTAATCTTGAACCTTTAAGGTAAAAGATGTGTGCGCTTTGTGTTTTGTATTTATGCTTATTTTAATAAAAAAGAGAGAAAGGTTCAGTTTCTTGTGTCCTGATGTCTCTAAACTGCTCATTGACTGGTGCTGATTTCATTGGTTTGGAGCTGATTGCACCTGCTGTGTTCAATTCCTGCAGGAGTTTACTTGATGGAGGGTGGGTGCAGACAGGAGCTGTGCTCTTTATGAGCTAGCTTTGTGCTTTTAGGAGCACCTCAGCAATGGATGTTTCTGCTGGAACCAAACTCAAACGGGAGTTTTCGTCTAATTACAAGAGTTTTGATAATCCGTCTGAACTGAGCGATGACTGCTCCACCAACGGGTTCACCTGTGACTTGAACAAAAACCGTGGTGAGAGGGAACAAATAACCGAGACAATGTTCATGTAAAACAACTCATTAAATCCACTTCTTTCCTGCTGCCAGAGGTCATCCAGCTGAACGAGCTGACGTCCAGCAGCTCGGATTTGTTCGACCTAAGCTTGTCTAAACTCGAGCAAACAGAGGAGGACTGCTGCGACCAGGACCAGCCGCTGCACCTCTACRTTTTCTGTGCAGTCCTTGCTGTTTGCCTGACCATCGCTCTGTTCCTGGAGGTTCACCTGGATGCAGTTTGGGTAATGTGGCATCATTACGGTTGTAGGTTCGGTCCAGAGGTGTAAAGTAACTAAGCACAAATACTTTGTTGCTGTACTTAAGTAGAATTTTTGGTTATCTACTTTAGGGGAGACCGGGGACAGTTGCAACACTTTTTGCATTTGACTCTGTTACTCAGATGTTTTTGAATTAGACAAACCAAATTTTAATACAATAAACTTAACATCTGTCTGTTTAATAGTCAAAACCATTTATAAATGATTAAACCATGTGCATTATTCACAGTTTGCATTTGAAAATGAAAAGTCAGATGTTACAACTGACCCCGTGACCGGGGACAGTTGCAACACGTTTTGCATTTGACTCTGTTACTCAGATGTTTTTGAATTAGACAAACCAAATTTTAATACAATAAACTTAACATCTGTCT